ATATCTAGGCTTGATTAAAGCTTTAGTTCTAAGGTAAATTAAACATCTCAGTTTGTATTTTAGTAAAGGGGGACATTTTGGACAAAGCTGGGAGGGGCCCATCCAGTAACTAAAAAAAGATAATATACCATCTTATACCATTGATCATTGATTAGGGGGAAGGGGAGGGGTAGTACAGAAATACAAGAGTTTGAAACACAGGAACAGATAGGTATGTGGGTAGGCGGGGACAGTAGAGCAGGGGGAGTGCAAATACCAGCTATACCAGTTTTTAGCTTGGGAGGAAGAGTGGGGGAAGGGCTACTCTAGCTCTGTAGGATGAATAGGGGGGTTGGTAATCAGATGCCAGGGGGGAGGGGATGTCCAAAGCAGTTGTAATTAAGTCCTTAGTTCTGACCACCATATGGCTACATTGTTTCTCATATGACACAGTTTAATTCACCAAGGCAGTTTTTCAACAATCAGTTTCCAACAGTCAATATATAGAAACTGATCATAGAATTCCGGCCTACTAGTTACAGCCACATGTACACCCTGCACTAAATTTAAGTCAAAACTGCTACATGGAGGCCATGCGGCCACCAGGACAGGCCATTCCCTACTACACAGTTTTGTTTTTTTTTAAAACATACAAGACAAAGGACCAACAGCCTTGTGAATCAGAAGATAATTTCAACAAAACGTCTGATTCAAAAGCTGTACAAATATACACACAGTTTCAACAGTCACACCAATCTCCTTATCACCAGCACCACATCGCACACACAGGATCCTCACATGCTCAACAATATCACGACGTTGCTCACACAAGTAAAATCAAAACTCACCAAACACTATATATACTCATCACTGTAACTATTAATCAAACCATACAATCCACGCTATTAATCCATATAAACTAACCGATCACATAACATTTCAACAATTTCGTCTCTACAGTCAGTGGTTATGGTACGGTTAGTAATTATTATACAGTTAGATAATTATGGTTTTAAAGTTACAAGGTCAGTTAGTAATAGTTAAGGTGTTACACATACAATGTTAAACAGTAATTTTAGTATCGCTAATGTAATATCAGTGGTTATGGTATTACGAAGTAGTTATGGTATTACAAAGGGGTTATGGTTTTATAAAGTGGTTATGGTATTATAAAGTGGTTATGGTTTTATAAAGTGGTTATGGTATTTTGAAGTAGTTATGGTATTATAAAGTGGTTATGGTATTATAAAGTGGTTATGGTATTTTTAAGTAGTTATGGTACAGTTTTTTTAAATCACAGGTCAATTAGTAACAGTTATGGTATTATACATATAACATAAAACAGTAATTTTTACACAATGTCAGTGGTTATGGTACATGTCAGTAGTTATGGTACCATGCGCTATTTTACAGTTATACACACAATTTACACTCCCACTAGACGGCAGAGCTCTAACTTTCTAGTAGGACATACAAATTAACCAATTCACCAACTACAATATATTTAACAACATTTACAATAATCCCAACTATTCTAACTGGCCAGCACCTCGAGAGCTTTCGATCTATTTGTACACCAGAGATTCGATAAGTTCTTCGTTGCCCAGACACCACGTATAGCGAACTACAGGGGAAAATTTACACCAATACCCTTTTAGTCTATTACACTATCAATAATCTAGTGGCTGGATTTACAACAGAGCACACTTAGTTAAGATAGAGTGAAATCTAGCAAACTATAATATACAACAGAGCCTGCTTAGTTTCGCCAATCTCCCCTTGCCTAGCAACCAAAATTTACACCTAGCATGCTAGTCAAGGCAGGACATCGGTGTCCGATATGAGCTATTTACACCAGAACTCAGTCTGACAATACCACCTATATTAGACGGGCTGACTACAGAGCGTCTAATGTCCAGATAAGAGTTGCGCCTTCGCTTCTTCCTTCCAGAGGGAAGGGGCCAATTCCAATAACCGGTTCCAAATATAAAACCCCTTGTGGGTCTACCGCTCTTACGGTATCAGTCTTACCTGTTAGTTCCTGGACCTGGGTTCACACTCATCGACGGAACACCCCGGTACTCACTGCACAGAAGCCGATGATCTCCTGGACAAAAGGCCAGTGGCGCCGAGACGAAAGGAGGTCCACGCAGTAGAAGTCCAGGGGTGCTGTGTAGAGGATTTGATAAAAGTTTACCGTCTCAAATCTCTGCGCCAGCTTCCATGCAATGAGGTTCCCGTTGCCAATGCACCAGAAATGTAACAGTGTAAGCATGCAGAAGCAAAACACAGAGAGATGGACACAGGTATTCAGGAAGTAAGAGGCCTTTATTCACATTACCGATCGGGTCTCAGATGAACTCCTGTTCCAAAAGATCTGAGAGACCAACACATGGTGTACATTCCTTATATAGCACTATAACTCCTCCCATTAATAGCTACACCCACATATACTTTTAACCAATCAATGAGCAGAATATAGACTTGTACATCTAGTCAAACCACATGGCCCATCCAAGACAAAGGAAATAAGTGCAATTTCAGTTCCTGTATTCCTGCACATGCTCAGTACACTGATGACAGTATCCTAGCTACGTGTAGCTAACTATCTGACACAACATACACATATGCCACATGGAAATCTTGGCCTACTACATTTACATTCACTGAAATTCCACCACAATGGGGGTTTAGTTACAGTATATGATCATACATTGCATAAGCCTGCCACAACGCCAATGTACCCATCTTTGGCAGGTCCTACTGGTGAGTGCAGCCAAACCCTTATTTTCTCATATATGTATATATTTAGGAGTCTAGCCAGCTCCATGGGTTTTGCACCCCTCCCTGTTACAGGTGCCTCATCTCAGGATCCTATTTAAGCATTGTACTGCATAGACCTCGAGATGGAAGGATTTCCCCAAGTGAGAAGCTCATTTAGCAGACAGAGTAGGACCTGCCAAAGATGGGGTACATTGGTGTTGTGGCGGGCTTATGCAATGTATGATCATATACTGTAACTAAACCCCCATTATATTTTTTTGCCTAGATTAGGTGTTTTTAATAAAACTGAAAATTGTTCAGCATTAAAATGACTGTTTAGTAGATAAGCGAGTGCACTGGATTTTCATTTTTACTATAACAACTTCAATCAGATAAATCGATCAAAGTGAGTACAGTGTTCCTTTTAGCAATCACAAGAACCACATAACTTCACATCTGTCCTGACATTTGTTTCCTCCCACATCACTATGCCCCAACTCTTTAGTTGTAGATTTCTCTGGATCTGGTCCAGTTACATGCTCCCCTACGGTGTTTTACATTTAAGTGAAAATTCTATGTGAATTTAAAATTTTACGTTCCAAATTACCAAACTGGAAAGATTCTTTAAGGCAGCTATGCTTCTTCATCTATTCTGTCCTTACACTTCAAATTCTCCCTTCAGTAAGTAGCACTGCTAGGCTATAATGACCAGCATTAACTGTGACGGACCACCTGGCACCCCGACCGGGTGCCTCCGCAAATCGATGCTCCTAGTGCTCACCGAGTACTCCAAGCACTCCACCAGACACCATCGGCACCGTAGGCCCATGTCCAGCATTACAGCTTGGCTGGGAATTCGCCGTCCTTCACCCACCCTGGACCCAAGACCAGGATCCAGCTTCCAGCCTCTCCTACTCTATATAGGAGGAACCGCTCTTATAAGAGCTAGTGATTACAATCCAGGGGAGTATTGTGATATAGTAATCCCCAGAGCAGATACAGGTGTTCCCCCCACACATGAGGTGAGACTCTATGTTGAGGGTAGGCATGAACTCATTTATTGGTAACCACAACTGGTCTTATATGCAGGTCCCCATGCAAGGGGCACTCCCCCCCTGGACCTGATGGTAGCCTGCAACAAACTTACACAAACCAATGACATTGGCCCTCTGGTCCAGGACACTCCCATACATAATTATGCAATTCCTCCCCTCTGCCTGGGAGATAATTGAGTCAGGAACTGCACTAACTCAATTATCTCCAAGCAAAATTTTTTTTTTTTTTTATAAATACCCAAAAGTACCTCCAAAACCCATGGAAACCCCATAAGCCCCGATCTGTGTGAACAACATATCCAAAAATCACCAAGATCGGTTCAGGGGTTCAGGAATTTCCGGGTAGTGAAAGCGTTGACCGGCCGCACGAATGATCCGATGCACAAAACGGTTCTATAGAATCGCGGCTAAGTGGGGACGGACCGGGAACCGTGTAGTCTTCATGTCGAAAATAGTTCCAGGGTATTTGCGGCTAAGAGAGTGGTGCTCTGCCCTGATGCCAGCTCTTCCGCTGGGATGGGTCAATGGATACTGCCGTCTCATCCACTACCCCTGTGACCTGGTTGCGGGTTCTCTGCTGCGGGGAGGGATCTTCCACACCATCCCCTGGTATTCCTGCTGGGGCTGTTGGGGATCTGAGATGGCTGTCCAGCATCCCATCTGCAGTCCCATCTGCACCAATTGGGTCCCTGAGGTTGGTGTAGACACTTCTGGGCACTGGCTAAGTTGGCTTCTGTGCCTGTGGGGATAAAGAGACCAGCTCTTTTTCCCCTCGGGCGGGCTTTTCTGTGCCTGGGAGACAAAGCGACAGTCCCTTTTTCCCGTGCCGGCACAGAGGCTCCTGGGAAGAAGACCCCCTCGCGGTTGGTGTGGAAAACCCTGTGTTTCGGTGGTGGGCTTTGGGGAGGGGGAGGATCCTAGGATGTGACCCTGTATGGTTGTGTGGTGGACCCCTTGCATGGGTTATGCATGAAAGCCGTGTGTGGCCAATAAAATTGGTGGTGTACCTCCAGGACTGTGTGTCGTCCAGTTACTAGGGGAGAATGGGTCTCTTTGTATTTTAAATGGTTCCAGACCGGCTGAAGGAAGGGAATTAGTGGAGGTAACAGGTCGAGTTACCTGTGGTCCGCTACAACTGATGGCAAGCGGCGGGATCACAATTCACAGCCGAATGAGAACAACGTTCGTGAGCCGAACAGGCCCATGGATTACATGACTCTAAAGAGGCAAACACTACAAGAGTTGCTGGAGGCCAGAGGGAAATCGGCCGGCCGTCGTACCAAGGTGGATATCATTGCTGCCCTCATTGAGGATGATTGGCTAAGCGGTGAGGCAGCTGTGATGCAACCGAAGGGTGAAATGGATGCCCTTCGCGAAGAAGTAGCCTGGCGTCTGACACTCTACAAAGAAACCCTCTCGGAAGAAATCATGACCAAGATCCTTTCCAAGGCACAAGCTTACGTCCTGGCTCAGATGAATGGGGTGAACCCCACACAACCAGACGAACAACGGGTGGGGGAGAGGTCCCCGGGGAGTAAAGCAGCCCTTGCAAGATAACAGAAATTGCCCTTTGAAGCCTTCAATGATTTCAAGGAGGCAGAGGAGGACATTGACTGCTTTTTGCAGGACTTCGAACGCCAGTGCTAGCTAGTAGAAGTTGTCCCCACAGACTTGGTTACCATCTTGGCCAGGAAGCTAGCAGGGAAGGTGGCGGATGCCTACCGGGCCATGCCTGCAGACAAGCTCCGGGAGTACAAATTTGTCAAACAGGTCCTGGTCATACCGCAGAAAGTTCAGGGAGACGAAAAAAGCGGAGAAGGACTCCCATGCGGAGTGGGCCTGTCGCATCACCGGAGCAAAGTCCCCCAAAAGAGATCATCCAGCATTTTATGCTGAAAAACTTTTATAATGGGCTCCCTACCGAGGTGCAGGAATGAGTGAGAGACAGGTAGCCCAAGACACTAACTGAGGCAGCCCAGCGGGCCGATGAGAATGCTGATACCCGACAATCCCAATGCCCCACTACCTCTCACAGCTACCGGCGCCCCATCCGACTCCTTCTACAGCCCCATCTGCTGCAGCAACCCTGCTCTGAGGTTCCCCGGCTCTGGCACCACCGCAGCGGGAACCGACTGGGGCAGACCGGCAATGTTTCCAGTGCCACCAGCCCGGTCATGTCACACCAAATTCCCCCCAGCTCAGAGGCTGCCCCCAGTGGGTCAGCCCAGTGGCCCCTTCTGCCCTGTGAGCAGCAGCGCTTTGTTACCAAACCGCCCCCACGGACACCCATAACCCCAATGAAGAAGCCTGGCCCTTCCTACACGAGGCGAACCCCATCGACAACCGGGACCACCACAGGCAGCCGGTTCGGCTGCATGGCCGCACTGTGCAGGGGCTAGGAGACACCAGAGCCACCCTAACTCTAATTTGACCTCAGCTCATCACAGAGGAGGAGAAAACAGGGGGTAGCAGGTTGAACAATCCACTGCTCATGTTCTCCTCGACTGGGACGCTGAGCCCTCTAGGGCTGCTGGGATTATTCGGGCCCTCGGTCCATGACCGCGGGCCCGACACCAGGAGGTGAAAGGGTTAATGCTGTTCTGGACTCAACTCCCCTCGATTCTCGATTCTCCGGTCAACACGGGAGTTCTTGTTTAGCAAATTAAGACACAGACACGAAATGAACTACCAGCAGTAGTGCTACTTGACAATGACCTGGGCCACCTTACCTCCACCTATGTACCCCTCCAGGCTCCGGAAGAAACCTACCCAGTGATGACCAGACAGCAAGCCCGCACCACTCGGCATGGCTCACACTCTGAGGCTCAGGTAGTCACACGTACCCATTCCCATACCCCAGTTCAACGTGTTCGCCCCAGTAAGCAGACTCCCCCGGCTAGTCCCCTTTTCCCAATACCCTGTGGTCCCCCCCTTGCCCCGGGCCCCTTACCTTGGTACACCCCTGCCGAGTTCGGGAGGGAAGTAGCATCCGACCCTACCCTTTATCCGTATAGGTCTAGGGAAGCCACTGGTCAGGTGGGCAAGAATGAGGAACGGTTCACCTGGGACAAAGGGTAGTTATACCGCATAGTGGAGAAAGGGAAGTCCTACAGCTCCTACTACCACCAAGCAGTTGGTGGCGCCCAGGAAATTTCATAATGAGCTGTTGAAGATAGCTCAAGATATTCCTCTGGCCAGGCATTTGGGAAAGGGTCGTACTCACCATCGACTCACCCAAAGCTTTTTCTGGCCAGTCATCTTGAATGATCTGTTTCAGTATTGCCAGACCTTTGATTTCTGCCAGAGAGTGGGGAAGTGGGGCAATCGAAACAAAGCCAAGCTTTAGCACCTACCCATCATTGAGGACCCCTTCAGCAGAGTAGCTGTCATAGGTCCCCTGGTTAAGCCTAGCCGCTCTGGGAAGAAATATATTCTGACCTTTGTGGACTTTGCAACTTGATACCCCCAGGCAGTCGCCCTGAGCAACATTCAGGCTGAGACTGTGGCCGAAGCCCTGATGCAGGTGTTATCCCAGATGGGTTTTCCCCGGGAGATCCTCTTGGATCAGGGGTCCCAGTTTACTGCCAAGATGACTAATAAACTGTTGAGGTTATGCGGCACTAATCTCCCCATATCACTCCCAGACTAATGGCCTGTGTGAGCGCTTCAATGGCATGTTGAAGAATATGCTCCGTACCTTTGCAGCAACTCGCAAGGATTGGGAGAGATTCCTGCCACATCTTCTGTTTGCCTACCATGTGGTGCCCCAGGAATCCACAGGATTCTCTCAGTTTGAACTAATGTTCGGGAGGAGGGTTAGAGGGCCCGTAGACCTTGTTCGTAGACCACTGGGAGGGCACTGGGGAATGGGAAGGGACCCCCATCGTTCCATATGTACTGGAGTTTAGGGACCAACTGGAAGAACTCACTCACCTGGTGCGTGGGAACCTCCAGGTGGCCCAGAGACGCCAGCGCACTTGGTATGATCGGGGACATGACAGGCTACAGGCTGCCTGGCAGGGTCCGTACCGGGTAGTGGAACAGAAATGTGACACTACCTATGTGATCGGTCCTTGCTCGGATCCCGGGGTTAGATGCCTGTTACATGTTAACATGCTGAAGCCCTACCACGAGTGGAGCGGGGATGTAGCCGCCATATGTGGTCCAGCCTCGGAAGATTTTGATAATCTTTCCCTGCCTGACGTCCTAGAGGACCGAGTTCAGACAGGGTCCATTGAGTAGGTTCACCTACGTGACAGACTGACCGAGGAAAAACGCCAACAGGCACAGCAGATGCTGTCGGCATAGAGGGAGAGATTATCCAATCTGGTATACCCCACTGTCCACTCACCAGGTACAGTTCCCACTGGCCACCCACCAGGTACAGACACCCAACCAACAACCTCTGCGGCAAACCCCCTACAGGATACCAGAGGTGGTGCGGGAGAGTATGAGGCAGGAGATTCAACTAGGGGTCACTGAACCGTCCAAGAGTCCTTGGGCCTCCCCAGTAGTTCTGGTCCCGAAGCGCGACTGAACCACCTGGTTCTGTGTGGACTACAGGAGGCTCAATGACAAGACGGTCTCAGATGCGTACCCCATGCCCTGTATCAACAAACTATTGGATCGGATGGCTCGTGGCCAGTACCTTACCACTATAGATCTGTGTAAGGGGTACTAGCAAATCCCCTTAGCGGCAGATGCTGTTCCAAAGTCGGTATTCATCACCCAATTTGGTCTGTACCAATTTAAGATAATGCCATTTGTGATGAAGAATGCCCCGGCCACTTTCCAGAGGATGGTGGACCGACTGTTGGAGCGCCTCCAGGACTACGTGTGTGCATACCTGGACGACATAGCCATATACAGCAACACTTGGGAAGAGCATCTGATACATGTAGGAGCTGTACTAGTAAGGATTAGAGAAGCAGGACTAACCCTAAAGCCTAATAAGTGCCACCAAGGAATGTCAAAAGTACAGTACCTAGGACATCGGGTAGGGTGTGGGACCCAGAAGCCAGAGCCAGCTAAGGTTGAGGCAGTAGCGAACTGGCCCCATCTCCACACCAAGACTCAGTTGATGGCCTTCCTGGGAACGGCTAGTTATTACCAGTAGTTTGTCCACAATTACAACGCCCTAGCTAAGCCCCTCACCGATTTGACCTGAAAGACCTTGCCTAGTCAGGTAGACTGAACCCCAGAGTGTGAGCAGGCATTCCAAGCCCTTAAGAATGCCATGGTGAATGCCCCTGTCCTGGTTGCTCCTAATCCGAGAAAACATTTTCTCGTCCACACAGATGCCTCCATGTTTGGGTTAGGAGCGGTGCTAAACCAGGTTGGGGACGATGGCTGAGAATGTCCCATGGCTTACCTTAGCAGGAAGCGGTTACCCCGGGAGGTGTGGTAGACCCCTTGCATGGTGTATGTATAAAAGCCGTGTGTGATCATTTAAATTGGTGTTGTACCTCCAGAACTGTGTGTCTTCCAATTACTGGGGGGAGAATGGATCTCTTTGTATTTAAATGGTTCCTGAACGGCTGAAGGAAGGAAATTAGGAGATGTAACAGGTCGAGTTACCCATGGTCCGCTACATTCACTGCCCAGGTGCATCAATGAGTATCGGGACCCAGATGCTGGTTTACCGATTGTTCTTCCTAGCATCTCTTTTTAGATACCTCTGACCCAGTTGTCTAGCCATCATTATTTGTCCCTTGTCAAAATCACAACTTTTCACTTGCTAATTTTTCCTGCTTCCAACATGACCGACTATTCACTTGCTGCCATATGTATCCTACCCATGGACAGTATAATCATATAATCAATGTATTCCCTTTACCGGTCAGTGGCTTTAATGTTAAGCGGCTGATCAGTGTATATATTAGTTCCCAAGTGGTTAATAAAGCATTTTATTTCACGCCTTAAAGACACAGGTTGGAAAATGTCCGCTCAATACTAAAATTAACCTGAGATTGACACAATCGCGGCAATCATGGGGTTAATGTTCCTGCAGTGTGCCTCCGTGTCTGAAGGACACTACAGCAAGCAGTTTCACTTTCACAGCCCATGTGAGCGTTCTGACCGGGAGTTCACATATACCTCGCAAACGTACATACCGGGGTATTGCTATACTCAGACAACATAGCTGAGCAACATATGAAGTATTAGAAAGCTGTAGTACACATAAGGTTTGCAAAATATACAGTACAAACTCACTGTGTGTCAAAAAGGCATGAAACATGCTTAATACCAATACACTTGGTACAAGCTAGCAGAAAAATTATCTCACGCTAAGGTTCAAAATATGCCTTTTGAAATACCCTCGGGTGTCCTCTTTAAGAAATAGTATGCCTTTTTGGGGTAGTTGGAATAAGCAGCCTGCTAAAATATTTCAAAATAGAACACGGACCCATCAAAACCATCTGAAAATTTACACTTAAAAATCTGAGATTAACAGGTCTCTTTTACAGCACTGTAACTTCACAAGATAGTGTCTAGGTCAGGGTTTCCCAAAGTTCGGGTGATTCCAAGTGGGTCACGCTGACCCACACCTCTAGGGCTGCTGGGATTATTTGGGCCCTCGGTCCATGACCGCGGGCCCGACACCAGGAGGTGAAAGGGTTAATGCTGTTCTGGACTCAACTCCCCTCGATTCTCGATTCTCCGGTCACCACATCAATTGACGGGAGTTCTTGTTTAGCAAATTAAGACACAGACACAAAAGTGCTTAACAAGTTCTCAGTGAGTGTATTTTCAGGGCTAACATTTATACACTATGCACGCAAGCAGCAAGATTTATCGTTTCCTTGTAGTTAATAGTACATACTTGTCTGACATTAAAAGATAAGCATTTGAATAAAGACGGGACAGGAACATCCTGAGGTCGAGCACATCCTGTAGAAGGGAGGCCCCTCAAAAGCATGTTACACAATACATCTGCCAAGGTCAGCATAAATATTTCAAACATTATTTTAAAGCATATAAAGCTCCTTACAGGAGGGAGCCCTGTGGCTTGCCCTGTATGCCGCTGGCCTCCCTCCAATCAGTCTGCCCAGAACCTCTGGTCTGCAGCTATAGAAGTCTCACAAGCACCCAGAGCATTACCATGGCAACACTCTGGGAGCTCGCAACACTTCTATCACATGGTCTGCAGCTCTGCACCCGGCGGAGCTGCAGACCGCAGAGTTAACCCACTGGACCACCAGGGAGAGACAATGGACCATCAGAGAATTTAATAAAGGTAGGACACAGCACCCACACCATGTGCTCCCCCCACATTGTAACCCCTTCTCTTCCTGCCCCCACACATTAACCCCTTCTCTCCCTGCCCCCACACATTAACCCCTTCTCTCCCTGCCCCTTTTCCTGCACTGTAACCCTTTCTCTCCCTGCCCCCCTCCCTACACTGTAACCCTTTTGTGGCGAAAGTGACCTTGCCACTGGTTTTTGGAGGGGCCTGCTTGCTTGCCTCCTACCCTGTGACTATGGGCCCTGCAATATACCTTGCCCAATACACTTTAAAAGGGTCAATTCATGTAATATAAGTATGTTTGTACTCCATAAAGAGTGACCGACCACTGGCCCTAATTCCCTGGAACTGTTTTGGACATGAAACCATGCTTGCAGCCGCTCAAAATGGACTTTCATAAAGCTTTTGACCCCTGCTCTGATCTGGGTGATTTTTGGATATGTTGTTCACCCAGATCAGGGCTATCCAGTGATGTAATATTTTGGGGGGTATGTTATGTTTTGGGGTACTTTCTGAACTTTGTGAAAATGTGTTTTTTTCTGCCTGGCGATAATTGAGTTACTTACAGGACTTGACTCAATTATCCCCCAAGCAGAGGGGAGGGATTGTGTGCTATACATGGGCGTGTCACAGACTGTATGTTTGTTCTGATTGGTTTATGTCCTTTGTGTTCCTGTGCCCCATCAGGTACAAGGGGTGTTCCTCTGGCCTGGAAAATTGTATAAAAGCCTTTTTATATGTGTATATGCCAAAATAGAGAAAAAACACAATTTTACTCCAATATTTAGCAGAGATTGGCGGTGAAATGGCTACGTAAAAAGGGTCAAAATAACCTCAGGTAAGTAGCCTGTGATGTCTACTTTATATAAATATATACTTTTGTGTGGAAATTTAGTTTTCTGTGATGGGTGTTAAACCTCCAAGACAAACATACCAACTTCTAAAATTGTTTCACATTGAAATTTTAGTTTAGTCCTTGTATTTTGTGACCTGTAACTTTCAAAATAAACTGAAATCCTACACATATTATGTACTCTGTAAATCAAGACACATAAATCAACTGATTTTGAATTACTTTTCCCAAGCTAGACATATTATGCACACATTATTATTGAGAAAATATTTTTCCACATTATTATACATTTTTTTTTTTATAATAAATGAGAATTTATCTATGTTTATGTCACATCAAATCAACCCCTTAAGGACACATGACACGTGTGACATGTCATGATTCCCTTTTATTCCAGAAGTTTGGTCCTTAAGGGGTTAAAGCCCCTTTTGTCCTCTAAAAAAGGTATATAATATGTATTGGTTTAATAAATGAGAGAAATGCAAATTGCAGTTGAACACAAACAGCCAAAATTAGCTTTTGTCCTAAAGGGTATGTCCAGCTTCTGAAGCTGTGTCATTAAGGGGTTAAAACAACCAAATGAACGGTCACAAAGATAAATGCACAAAAGAAACATTTTTGTGTTATATGTGCATTGCCCACCAGGGGGCCACTTCTCCAGCATACAGGTGCTGTCCCCAGAATTTCTGCAGTAATAGCAGTCGGCTGGAATGGCATAGTCCATTTGGTATATTTCACCTTAATTTCTGGATCACCTTAATTTCAGTTCACCTGAGTCCAAGTTTGTGGTACATTCGTGTGTTGTAGTTCGCTTGATGCGTTTCGTCCTTTTTCAAGAGCTGTTGTTCCCTTATAGGTATTTGTCTTTTTATACCCTAATGAATTGGTTTCTCTGCCTTCCAATTGATCCATATAATATTGTTTGAAGTGGGTTGTATTCATGTTTTCAGAATTATATATTTATTTGAAATACATTTGTGAACAATAAATGTAATGTTTGAATTAAATATACTATATTTATATTTGTTAAGGGTAATGCAATTTCCAGGTTCTATAATACACACGCATGTACACATATTTAGAGTTTATTTATACGAGAACCAGGGACTTTCTGCATGTTTCTATATGTTTAGCAGTGTTTCATTGTTTTTGTGTGCTTTCCTAAATAATGTTTATAAAGAAACAAATTAATTCGTGTATAAAAAGACTGTAACAGACCGTTTTGCACACAAGAGGTTAAAAACCATTTAGGTGATATTCCCCTTTCAGATGCACAGGCAGCTACTGCAATCACCAGTCTCCCGAACTGCAAACACACATTCTCCAACTCCCGAACTGGAACCAGAAGAATCCTCCAACTCCCGAACAGGAAACACACAAATGCTGTTAAACAGCCGAACAGAAAAAAAAAAAAACAAAACAGCTTACACTCCTGGCAGTCGCACTGTAACCGCATACAATCCAATTCCCCCCAAGAATGAGACGACACTTTGTTTGAGGATCACGCAGAACTGATTTACAGGGGCTACCTGCCTGGCTTTTATGCAGGTCTCCCACCTGGTGGACACTCCCCTAGGGGACCAGATGGGAAACTGGGGCACAAAGGGTAAAAGGACCAATCACAAGCTTACACATTTAAACAAATCCCACGATGCATTGCAATCCCTCCTCTCTGTCCTGGAGATAATTGGGAAGTAATCCAATTATCTCCAAGGACAGAGGCAAACTCCATTAAGCACATGTTACCAAAAAGACAGAAAAATATACAATGTTGCAAATATTACACAAAAAATATACATTCAACATATCCCCAGATAGCTTAGCTCTGAGCGCACATTATTACTGAATGGCGCTCAGATCACATACACATAGTTCAATCGCCATGAAGCCAAAGTCTTTCATACAGTCTTTTGGAATACGAATGGGCTCCATGGCATAACTATCTGGGGTAACATTGTTCACATAATGAAAGTCCCGAATGAACCGGTGTTTGTTTGTTTGCAGGAGAAGGGAAGTTGGCGGCTCAGCGGTCTTCATGCAAATAAGTGTCCGTTTTGAATTCCATAGATTTGGAGCTGAACACCGCTGGCCGTTCGGGAGTTAAAAATGGCCACCGCCATGTGTTCGGCAAAGAACAAAGCCACCCAGCGTTCGTTGATTAAGCTGCTGTTAACTGACGGCACACTCCAGTTCCCAGGTGGTTGATCGGTCGGTAGTTTGTTTGGTAGATTCAATCTACCGAATGCCGAGGCAGAAAGGCACGAATAAGCCTTTTTGCAGGGAAAATAAAAGGTTTTTAACATGGGGCCATAGTCCAGCGGCAGGAGGCAGGCGACCAGGCTCTTCCAGTGGCCAGTGGCGACCAGGCTCCTCCAGTGGCCAGTGGCGAGGTTGGTTCCGCCACAAAGACGATCAATGTCACGACTTAGTATACCCCTGTGGGGGCATGGAGGAGGGGGGGTAATGTAACAAAAAACTTCAGTTACCTGGACAGTTGAAGAAGACTGAAGGTCAGCCTCCTTTCCACTGAATGGGGGTTCTGTTTTGGACAGGCAGGTACACTTGAGGTATTCACACTTTTCCCTCTCGGTTTGTCACTGTTGCAAAGTTGGGGTGTCCTTATTTCAAAAGGTTTTTTTTCCCCCAGCCTTGCGATGAATATCTCGCACCCTCAGTTGGGGACACTGGGAAATGCGATGAATTATATAATCACAATATGCAAATTGTAAATTACAAACAGCTGACCAGTTGCATATGTGTACCGTTGTTTTTCATAGGTTGGAAAGTTGAGATTGTGTTATAAATGTGATGCATTATTATGCTGTTTGTTCTTCAAGTTTTGTATGTATGTTTATATTTATATGGATTTCCCCACATGTTTAAGGACAAGTCACGAAAGGCTAATCCTTGCACAAAATAAACTATTCCATTGGGAACTGTGTGTCCTATTTGCTTTGTTCAGGGACCCCAGTAACAGAGTTTTCAGGCTTGTTGGCTGGCTGCACTGGTTTCTGATTCCCGGATGAGTTAAGAAAGCTAGGCCTGAGAACCACAAGTGCTTTTATAAAGGCAGTCGCTGGAGACAGTTTTGGCAGAGGTGTTGATACCTATCTAGGAGAGGAGCAGAAGAGGCAAAGGCAGGGGACGATACCTGCCTAGAAAGAGAGATCTGCAGTCTGGTCAAAAGAAAGAGATCCTCAGAGACCCCTGTCAAGCTTACTGGATCTGAAGAATTTCAGGGTTCTTGATAGCAGCTAGGAAGCTGACATAGCATAGGTACTCAGTCAGAGGACAGGAGCTCCATCACACCCATGGAATCCTTGGAAGGATCTATTGACCTGCTGGCTGCTGGAGCTAGGTTCTTCTGTGTCTTCTGTGAAAAAGAATGTGATGTAAGGCCATGTATTGATTATAGGGAATTGAACTGTATCACTGTTCATAATGTATACCCTATACCTTTAATTACCTAAATAACTGACTGTCTTTAGGGATCCAATGTGTTCACTAAATTGGACCTTAGAGAAGCCTATAACCTGGTTGGAATCCATGAAAGAGAAAATGGCTTTTAAAACTCGCAGTGGGAATTACGAGTACTTTGTGATGCCATTTGAGTTATGTAATGCTCCAGCCATCTTCCAAGAGGCTCATTGTTGGAAAAAAAACTGTGGGTGGAGACACTTAAATGACAAAAAGGGGTGGCACCTACTGTCTCCCCCCAACCTCCACCCATAATCTGCGTGTGGAGGCCCTTAAATGACAAAAAGTAGGGGGGGGGGTCTACTGTTCATGAGTGGTGTTTAGGGGCCCTTCAATGACAAAGGGGGGGAACCTACTGTCCCCCACCAGACCCCATCCCACCAGTCAGATTTATCCTTGGATGAAGTAGCTATTACCCCACTAATTATATCCCTGTATGTTATGTTTTTGTAAGTATTTATCCAATTGCAGTTTAAACATCTGTATGAACTCTGATAAAACCACCTCTTCAGGCAGAGAATCCCATATCCTTATAGTTCTTACTGTAAAAAAAAACCTTTCCTTTGCCTTAGATTTAATCTCCTTTTTCCAGCCTAAATCTATGACCTCGTTTCCTATGTAGAGCCTGTTTATGAATAGATCTCCAGATAATGGTTTGTATTGCCCTAAATATATTTGTATAATGTTATCATATCCCCTCTGAGGTACCGTTTTTCCAAACTAAAGAGATTTAAAATTTTAACCTTTCTTCATAACTAAAATGCTCCATTCCTTTTATCAATTTTGTAGCTCGTGTCTGCATTATTTCTAGTGCCATGATATCCTTTTTTAGAACTGGTACACAAAATTGCACAGCATATTCAAGGAGTGGTCTTACCAGCGATTTATAAAGAGGCAAAATTATATTTTCATCTCGACAATTTATGCCCCTATTTATGCATGACAAAACCTTACTGGCCGTAGCAACTGCAGATTGACTTTGCATATTGCTGCCTAATTTTTTGTCTATAACAATTCCCAAATACTTCTCGGATATTGTTATCCCTAATTCACTACCATTTAGGGTGTAAGTTTCTTCTGCATTCTTTACCCCGAAGTGCATAACTTTGCATTTCTCTACATTACATTTTATCTGCCATTTTAGTGCCCAGTCCCCATTCTATCTAAATCCCTCTGCAGCAAAGCAATTTCTTGCTCACATTTTATTACTTTACAAAGTTTTGTGTCATCTGCAAACACTGAAAGATCATTTATAAATATGTTAAATAGAAGCGGTCCCAAAACAGAACCAGGTGGGGTGTAAAACCACAATAGGGCAACAAGGGGGCAGCAAACAAACAAGGTGGAAAAGTAGCAGAACTGGATGTGAGAGTGGAGTGTTGCTCTTTAGAAG